TGTGGCAGTTCCACTGGCAGTGCTATACTGGTTCCACTGGCAGTGCTGTAGTGGTTCCACTGGAAGTGCTGTGGTGGTTGCATTGGTAGTGCTGTCATGGTTACATTGGTTGTGCTGTGGTGGCTCCACTGGTAGTGCTGTGGTGGTTCCACTGGTGCTGTGGTGGTTCCACTGGTAGTGCTGTGGTGGTTGCATCGGTAGTGCTGTGGTGGTTCCACTGGTAGTGCTGTGGTGGTTCCACTGGTAGTGCTGTGGTGGTTCCACTGGTAGTGCTGTGGTGGTTACATCACTCCACCCAGTGGAAATGGGATTTTAGGCCACATTGGGTGACCAGCTAGCAGGACCTCTGATGGTGAAAGTATTGCTGGAGGTGGCCTATGGATGCAGGAGTGGCAGCAGAAGGTGTATAGCTCCTGCTTTTCAGTTTGGTTTATGCACCACCTTTATTAGCTGAGAGACAAATGCGTAGTTTATACTCTTGTCTAAGCAGGCAGTTTTTCTGGGCATTGCTCAGTCAGTTTTGGAGGTGCTGTCCTGGTATATGTCACCAGGTTTGGTAAGAAATGGTGTATAGCAAATAATAGTAGTCACAGATGATGTGACTAGTTCATGATGGTTGTGTGGTTTCTTTTTGTTTATTCTTGGAGCATAACTCCATTTCTTTTTGTTTTTACTTAATGATGAATGAGACATTACCTTTTCTTTCGCATCATCTGTGACTACAACTCTACTGGCCCTTGAACAGCTACGGCTCCTCCTCAGAACTCGGAATCACATTGGAGCAACCACTTGTTACTCGAACTCAGTACCAGCACCTACCTATCCATTGTGGTACCTTTGGCCCCTACTTTCCATTGATTATGAAGTCAGCTTTCACTGTGATGCAGCAATGATTCATGGATCATCCACATGCCAATGGATAGAGTGACTCCAGTCTATCTGCCAAGAGACAGTTCTAGACAAGCAACGATGGTGACATAGCATTCACCTTGATCATATACAAACTAAGAAACACACCATCTGGAAATCTCTCCCATTAACAGAAGTATTCCAAAAATGACACAGGAAACAAAAAATCTACTGCAAGACAACCTTCTTTAATGGACCCCGGGTTTAACAGATTTTGGATTTAAGAGACAAAATCTGTAGTCTGATAACATCCAGAAACAGTGGACAGAATTGGTTAAATCCAGAATTATCTGTTATATTGTTGTAGTCCTTCTTTGTATTCTTCTTTGTGTTCTCTTCCTCTCTCTCTCCTCCACTGGTTAGATTGATTTCGATACAGCCACCTGGAAAAATATTGAAGAGCACCAGAAAAGTGTCTAATGATGGCTAATAGATCAGTGTTGATATTAAATCTACTATTCTTGTCAAATCTCAATGAAACAAGTGTGAGCCAATGATGCATGCATAACATGAATATGCATAAATATATCGATGAATTAAAAGGTTAAAAGACCTTTTAATTGTGTCTAACATACTAGTACACAGTGATGACTGTGGTGTGCTAGTTGGCACAATATTTCATGCCATCAAATATACCATCTGTCAGCATTTTTTTTATCTCAGCTCAACTGTTTGGATTTCCAATAACCTCTTCGTGCCTTTGAAAAAAATCTAGGACCAGGTGGGTTCACTCAGTGCATTATGGAGTAACACTGCTTAACTAGCATTAGTAAAGAGTGAAACCAGGACCTGTTGTTCCTCCACCAGCTTCCCTACCAACAAACAGGGTGTGGAACTGCCAGGAAGATGCCTTAATTATTCCAGATTTATTGCAGCTTCATGATACTAGCAATGGAATTGAGGCAATAAGCACACTATGCTGATTTAACCTGGGATAACCCAATAAAGTCAAACACTGTGACTTATTTCCATGAGTATTACTTTGTGAAGCAATTGTAACAGCATAAGATGTCCTTGTAAATATAAGTTTTACAGTGGTATTGAAGGCACATTGGTTTCATGGACACACAGAAATTACGTTATATTTACATAACCCAGGGTACTTCCTCAAACCTAAACACAGTATATATAACAAAAATAATTAACCTAGGATAACCCACTGTTGTCAAACATTGTCTCATTTCCTTGAAACAATTGTAATATCACTGGTATTCCTTGTACATATTGTTAGAAGACCAGAGCAGTAAAAAATAGAAAAAAAAAAAATATTTGCTATGCAAAAATATGGCTTGTTCATGATTTTTTGCACTCTATAGTGTATATTCTGTGTGGAAATTAAAACTGTATCAGGGTATACAACAAATTCTAACCATACAATAGAGCAAAAAGTAATGTGAAGGATCTGAGAGCGATAATGTCAGAGGATCGTGCCTTCAAAGACTACAGCATCTGCTAGAAAAATGATAGGATGGATAACGAGAACCTTCAAAACTAGGGATGCCAAGCACATGGTGATTCTCTTCAAATTGCTTGTTCTCTCTAGGCTGGATTATTGCTGTACACTAACTACCCCCTTCAAGGCAGGCAAAATTGTTGACCTGGAGAGTGCACAAAGAACTTACAGGGCAAACATAAGTACAATAAGGCACCTGAATTACAGGGTACTGTTGAAGTCCCTTGATTTGTATTCCCTGAAATACAGGCAAGAGAGATACTTGATAATATACACTCGAAAAATCCTAGAGGGATTAGTACCAAACTTGCACACAAAAATCACTCCCTATGAAAGCAAAAGACTCGTCAGAAGATGCAACATTCCCTCATTGAAAAGCAGGGATGCCACGAGTACACTGAAAGACAGCACAATAAGTGTCAGGGGCCCAAGACTATTCAACTGCCTCCCAGCATACATAAGGGGGGATTACCAATAGACCCCTGGCTGTCTTCAAGAAGGCGCTGGACAAACACCTATAGTCAGTACCTGACCAGCCTGGCTGTGGTTTGTACGTCAGTTTGCGTGCAACCAGCAGCAACAGCCTGGTTGATCAGACCCTGATTCCACCATGAGGCCTGGTCTCAGACTGGGCCACGAGGGCATTGAGCCCCTAAATCCTTTCCAGGTATACTTCAGGTGTGGAGCAATATTGGGCTGTGTGTTTTCCCTGCTTAAAGTACTAAAACACCTTGAATTACAGTACGTCTGATATCATAAGAAACTAGTGTTAAATTTAAATCCAATAAAAACTGGAAACAATCATAATCTGGTGTCAGATTGTAAAACTTGAACCCTTTCACTGTCGGTGCCGTAATATTGCGGCTTGCAAGCCAGTGTTGGTGCCGTAATGTTATGCCAAAATTCTAGCAGCTCCCAGTGTTGCAGAAGAAAGCTGTTAGGCCTACATATGAGAGAATGGGTCTGAGTGGTCAGTGTGTGCAGTTTTAAAAAATCCTGCAGCACACAGTGCATAATGAAAAAAAAAAACTCCAACTGTGTTTTTGGTTTAAAACACCTACTTTGTGGTGTATTTTTGTATGACGTTTATGGTTGTATTTTCATTTTCTTGATCTCATTTGATAGAATGGAAGACATATTACAGAAATAGACGTGATTTTGAATGGTTTATGGACTGAAATTACCTTGAAATTGAGCTCAAATTAGCGGAAATATTCGATTTTTGCCGATGTTCAAGAGTAAACAGATGACGTCACGCATCCAATACACGTCAACTGGTGGGCCTAATACACCTACCATCCGACTTACGACCGAGTTCGGTTCAGAGAAACCGGTCGTAAGCCGAAATGGTCGTAAGTCGAACTTTACTACTGAATATCAACAAAACATTTTTGTAATGACTTTATTTTATTGTTTTATTTTGGTATGTCATGTTTTACTTTACTTTTTATGTTGTTAGTACTGTATTTTATACTGTAAGGTTTAGGATAAACACTGTGTACAACACAAATAGTTGTTTATTTCCCAGAAATTTGGCATAAAAAACACGGTCGTAAGTCGAGTGGTCGTAAGTCGGATGGTAGGTGTATGCTTTCACAAATGCACTGATCTTATTTATACCATTTTTACAATAATGCTGTAGTCTGCATAACAGTAAATCTTTTATGATTTGTGTGCATAAAAATTCAAAATGGAAAGCAAGCATAATAATAGAGGGGCCTGGAGACATGACTAATGAACAGAGAAAATGGTATTTTAGTGCCAAGAATGTTTGTGTTGTTAATTCTGGACTCCATTTTGTGTATGAAATTGGCCAAATTACCAAGTTCTGATTACGTACTTTATTGGGTAGTTGAAATCGGTAAATGGGTGCTTTCTTGTACTCAGTCGATAGAACAAATGTAGTTCTAGCGAAATAGATGTGAGTTTGGTTGACTGGAACAATGGAATTGGCTGAAAAAAGGACTCGCAGTGAGCAAAATCGGCGATGCGTAAATATCACTGAGACCGGTAACTTCATAAGAGCGTAATTCCATAAGTTTTCCATCAAATTTCATACTTTTGGTGTCATTACTGTCATGAAAAGATCCTCTATCATTTCATAAGAAATTTTTTTTTTTTAAATTCTTCGACACTGTGAACAAGTTTGTGAGCCAGGGTCTCAACAGTGAAAGGGTTAAATTAGCTGGCACATTTATGCAGTTGTTGCTGATGAGTGATTATTTTTTCTCCATCTTGAACACACTATAAAATCTTTAGATTTTATAAGATTTCATTCATTTTAGTCTTTTGAATTTATAAAGTTGTTCTTTCAATCTGTGAGTGCCTTTTTTTTTTTCACAATCTTGCTGCTCATAGGATTTTTTTAATTTCTGTGCATTTCAAATTCAAATTCAAATTTTTATTATGAGCCATACAAAGAGGTTACAGTAGTTTTACATTCCAATTGATTGTATATTTATTTTGATCTTATTATAGCACAGATAATAATGGGGTTCTAACTTGTCTTCTTCAGTTAATTTTCCTCAAGTGGGTGAGAAAGGCTGTGTCAAGCGAGAGCACAGTTTTAGTGGTTTGCAGTCAGCACAAGCTCATACCTATGTTTGGTTGATTAACTTGGTAATTTGTTATTTTTCAGTGTATCAGTATGACGGATATAAACAAAAATGGTGGACAGCGTGTCTGCTGAGACCAGAATAAAAGAGTTATTAGAAGAGTCTCGTAACTGTACATATCCAGAAGATGCGAGAGGCATCAAGCAACGTTATAAAGATACAGCCTTACTCTTGTTCAAGGTTAGTTTGTATTACTGCTCAAATCGTATACCAGAACAAGAGAAATTTTCACAGTACCCGTACTAGGAAATAATATGATATTTCTGAAATGCATTGCAATGAGTACAGTACAACTGTGAAACCCAAAGTAGATGCAGAACAGCATTTTTGGCAGAATATTAATGTATAGTTTACTCAGTTGGTAGAGTGGTCATGTCCAGGACCTGTCTGTTTTCATTGTTGGTCCTGCCTGCCTCAGTTTGTTATTCCCTATATACACTCATAGTCTTCATTCATCATTTAGTCTCAAAATTTTCCTTTGGCACTACTCAGAATAAAAATTTAACACAAGATTTCATTCAGAATATTTTTTTTTTCAACATGTCAGCCATCTCCCTCTGAGGCAAGGTAACCCAAAAAAGAAAGAAACTCTCTCACCATCATTCAACACTTTCACCATCATTCGCACATAATCACTGTTCATTGTAATTCGCATGCCTAGATCCCTTCTTTCATTCAAGTTTTTCCTCTGAACATATAAACCAGTTTAAAGTGCTATTTGCAGAGTGTTAAAAATCAAGCCAAGTGCCATTTTTCAGTTCATTTGGCACATGGCACTCATAATGAAAACTAACTGTAGGATTTCATTCAAATAGTTTCATTTGATTACCTATGCACAAATCTCTCTTGTGGTTGAGTTGTTCTTTTGAGTGTCAACAGAAGCCAGTTCAGAGTGATATTTAAAGAGAAACTGTCAAAAAATTAAGTGAGCATATAATAGCATCTCATTACTACATTACATTTCTTAACACTTCGAGGGTTGGTCACGTACAAGTACGTCATTGCAGCCAGGGTCGGTCACTTACTTGTATGCCTAAATTCTAGCGCCTTCAAATCTGGTAGAAGAAAGCTGGCAGGCCTACATATGAAAGAATGGGTCTGTGTGGTCAGTGTGCACAGTATAAAAAAATCCTGAAGCACGCTGTGCATAATGAGAAAAAAAAGAACTTCGACTGTGTTTTTGGTTTAAAACAGCGACTTTCTAGTGAATTTTCGTTTGGTATTTATGGTTGTATTCTCGTTTCCTTGGCCTCATTTGATGGAATGGAAGATATATTACAGAATTAGAGATGATTTTGATTGGTTTCACGATGACAAGTACCTTGAAATTGAGCTCAAAATAGCTAAAATTATCGATTTTTGCCGATATTCAAGAGTAAACAAATCAAGCCGCGCATCCAATACACGTCAACTGGTGACTCAGATATTCTTTCATAAGTGCTCTGATATCATTTATACTGTTTTTACAATGATGCAGTAGTATACATAACCGAAAACTTTCTATTTTCTGTGAGAATAAAAATTCAAAATGGAAAGCAAAAGTAATGTAAAAGGGGCCTAGAAACGTGACTAATGAACAGATAAAATGTTATTTTAATGCCATGAATGTCTGTCTTGTTTATTTTGAACCCTATTTTGAAATTGGCATCTTTTGAAATTTGTGTGAAATTGCCCAAATTGCCAATTTCCAACCACTTTATTGGGTAGTTGAAATCAGTAAATGGGCGGATTCTTGTACTCAATCGATAGAACAAATGGAGTTCTAGGGAAATAGCTATGATTTTAGTCAACTGCAACAATGGAATTGGCCAAAAATAGCACCCAAAGTGGGTGAAATTGCCAACTTTGAGACTGCTAAGTTCGCAAGAGCATAATTCCATAAGTTTTTCATCAAATTTCATACTTTTGGTGTCATTATGATCGGAAAAAGATTCTCTATCATTTCATAAGAAAAAAATAATTTTTTTTTTTTTTCGAAAATTTTTCAACCCTGAGAACGAGTTTGGGAGAGGGCCTCTCGACCCTCAAAGGGCTAATGTTAACCACGTAATTGTATGGTCATATCTTTGATATATGTACCTTTGATGAGTTTCGAGACTCTTATACAAAAAATATTGGAGTTCGGTCCAGAAACTACTATTCAGCACTATGTTACAGTTTATTCTTTATGTATCTTATAGTGTTATCCAGGCAGTGGACTAAATGCTACATGAAACATTTGTCCATGTCTGGTAACCTTCTGGTGCAGCTGACCTAGTATGCTGTGTTGGGCACCTTGATTCAGTAGATTTTTTGTTAAAACAGACACTACCTCCAACAGTATTAGTCCATTGTATCGAGGTTTCACCACACAGCAATACCAGAGTTAAGTAAAAAAAAAAATAGGAAGAAAAATTAAGTGATAAGTTTATTTTTTTTTTATTTTTTTTTTTTTTAACACTAGCTGTCTTCCACCGAGGCAGGGTGACCCAAAAAAGAAACACTTTCATCATCAATCACACTGTCACTGTCCTTCCAGAGGCACGTAAATACAACAGTTCAGATGTCCCTCCAAACAGAAAAAATATCCCCACCCCTCAGAGTGCAGGCATTGTATTTATCACCTCAGGGCTCAAGTCCGACTAATCGGTTTCCTTGAATACCTTCTGAAAATGTTACCATGGTCACACTACAACAGCTCATCAAGTCCCAAAAACCATGCTCACACATGCCTGCTGTATGTCCAAGCCCCTTGTATACAAAACCACCTTTACCTCCTCCCTCTATCCCTTCCTAAGACAGGCCATACCCTGCCTTCCTCCACTATAGATTTATACACCCTCCAAGTCATCCTATTTTGCTCCATCCTCTCTAAATGACTAAATCACCTTAGCAACCCCTCCTCAGCCATTTGAATAATATTTTTAGTAACTCCACACCTAATTTCCAAACTACAAATTTTCTGCATAATATTTACACAACACATTGCCCACAGACATGACATATTCACTGCCTCCAACTTCCTCCTTACTGTAACATTCACAACCCAAGCTTCACACCCATATAAAAGTGTTGGTACCACTATACTCTTATACATTCCCCTCTTTGCCTCCATGGATAACATTCTTTGTCTCCACAGATACCTCAGTGCACCACTCACCTTTTTTCCCTTCATCAATTCTGTGGTTCATGTCATCTTTCTTATCCCCTGCTGTCAACAGGTCCACTCCCAAATATCTGAACACATTTGCTTCCTCCATACTCCCTCCAGTTTGATATCCAGTCTTTTATTACCTAACCCATTTGTTACCCTCATCATTTTGCTCTTATCAGTGTTCACTTTTAATTTACTTCCTCTATAGAATAATGTATAAAAGTAATTTTTCTGATAGGAAATTAAAAACTTTAGTCCCTTTTTTACATAGTTTCCACAGAGATTCAGATGTGTGTTGAATATCATATAGGTAATTTATCTTGTGTGATGCTCATGAGTTCTGTTGCAGCTCTCTAGGAAGAGACTTACTGGTAAGTCTGGATTTAGCACACTTAAAGTTCAAGGTCCTGAACAGTAGAATGTATGGATGGCTTGTATGTTTTAGTATGTTTAAAACTTTGAATAGAGGTGGTGTATGTTTAATGCTAGAGTTTGTTATTGTTCTTTTGGTTGACTCCTGCTGTCAGATAATTGGTTTAAAGTACAGTATTTTACAATTATTGATTCCCTATGTACAGATACTACCTGTGGTACTGATAGATAAATGTGTAGTATTGGGTAAGAAAGTGTAACATAGAGTAAGCACCTTCAAGTTAGGTGCCTCAATGCCACTTAAGGGCTCTTGATTCAAAGAATTGGAATTGCCCTCTTTCTTTGGATCTAATCTGATTGCTTTCCATTTCCCTGGCACTGTATGACTTGTATAGGTTGAGCACTTCCCCATTAATGTAATAATAATTATAAGGAAAGCAGTCTAGAGCAAGGTAGTGAATCTTTGTAAACATACCTGCAGGTTTTTATATTCTTTTGCAACATGTTTGATGTGAGTACTTGTACTTCAGTTTGTTGTTCAGATGTATGCCTTGAAATTTGCCATTTTTTTGCTTTCTATTTATATGACATTTATTTTAGTGTTTATTTGGTCATTGCTAAACAGCATATTCTTGGTAATGTGTATTTTCAGTAATCATTTATTATGCTGTTTAAAGTAATAATGTTTGAATTTAATAAGACATCAGTAGTATCATTGCAAATAATGTTGGCCTGAGTTGTTGGGTGGCACTTCTTAGGTCATTGATTTATAAGAGAGGAAGAGGAGAAGACTTAGAATGCTACTCTAGGGGAGGCCTGGGTTTGTTGGTAGAGTAGAGTGATTTATGATTAAGTGTTGATGCTTGTCACTTGAGTAAGATTGTATGAAATAGCTTGAGTGATCTCTATTGCTTTAGTTTATGAAGAATGTTTATGGTCTGCATTATCAAAGTACTTTCCTAGGGCACTAAATAATCCAGCTGTATATTTGTTCTTATCAGGTGCTGATTACTATGCTGTCTAAAAATTTTATTACAATGTCATTTGTATTTTTTTTTGGGTCTGAATTCATATTGTCAAATTAAATAGTTAAGTACGAGTATATACATGTATGCATTATTTAATATTTCTGACGTTAGAGTAGATTTGAAACTGAGTTAAAATTATTTTGTCAGAGTGATCTCTGACAAAATAATTTTATGCATAATTAATCCTGCAGCATTTTTTTTATTCGTTTTTGAGAGTCCATAAAAATTTGTTCATTGGCATTAAAGTAATATTGGGGTAATCTTTTTTCATTAAGTTAGGACATAGCACCTACTTTATTGGAGATTTTCATAACCTTTTATGTATTTTTCTTTTTGACATTTCATTTCCATATCATTCAGGTAGGTTATTTGTGACTTTTAACACCAGGCTTTTTTTTTTTTCCATCCGTTTCCCGATACCTAGTAAATTTACTAGTGATTAGCCAACATTTTTAAATTTACATTTGCATTTACAGCAATCCCAGGAGGATAACAACCCCAGGAATTATCTTTCATTTGGAACACGCAGATCATCAGCTGTTAGTCAGTACGGCAACACTCCTATCATTGTCCGACGGTCCCGCAGTTCAAATGGTGAGCTCTCAACTGTAGGGGAACAAGTGCCGTCTATACTGGGAAGGTCATCAGTTAGTGACTATACGCTAATAGAATCCAAGGAAAGTGATGAGGAAGATACAGAGACTGAAGATGAGCTTGATAACAAAAACCTTTTGAATTCTGCAGAAGTGGCACTAAGGGAAAAAGAAAGCTCAATATCAAAAAATAAAACCTCAATAAATGATAATGAAACTGAGAGTCAAGCAGATTTAACACAGATAAAGAAAAACGAGAAGATCATTAATGGGTTACGGGTTCAGGAGTGTGAGAACAGGAAAAGCTTCAGCCATTATGACTTGCCCATACAGAGGAACAAGGGTCACGAGGAAGTGGACACAAAAAATTGTGAAAATGAAAGAAATCAGGTGAAGAGTGAAAGAAAAACAGGAGAAATAGATCCTGAGTCAAAATGTGAGAATGGAAGTTTAGTTGTCAAAAGTAGAGAGACTGAGGGAATTCCTGAAGAGGAGGTATCACCAAAATTTGAACATGACAGTCAGCATGACACATTGTACAATGAGAGTAAGGGGAATATTAATGGAAGCCAAAGTAAAGTATACCCCAAAGACAATAATTCAAAAGCTTATGAATCTCATGATTTAAATGACATTGTAAAGCCACACTGTCCTGAGATAGATCATGAAGCTGTTCTAAGAGCTTATGTTGAACAGTCTTCCTCATTAAATAAGTTGTTGCATGAAAGTCAAGCTAAATCTTGTTATTCAGATAGTTATAAAGATAAATTGTATGATGAGTGTAAATATGTAGAATTAAAGATAGTTGAATCTGTGGATGATCCTCATAGCAATGATTCAGACAAGGGTCCTAGTTCAGATATAAAGAATGTCCTTACCACTGACATATTGAAATTTGGTGATGATGATGATGTAACATTCATTGATGCAAATTCACCACTGCTTACACGAGCAAAGCCCATGTGTGAAATATCTGAAAATTCAAATCAGGAATTGGCACAGAAACAAGATGATGCCAAGCAATTTTCAGTATTAAATACACCTTCAAAGCATGAAGATAAAAATCTTATTAAATCTTCACCTCCTTTAATTGAAAACTGTTCACTGAATGAGAGTCCTCAGTTTCTTAAGGGGGACAGTGTAGAAGATGTAAGTAAATATCTAGAAAATCACAGTGGCCTTCTTGACCTGCCACTCAGAAGTCCCACGCCACCAAAGCGAAGCCCCAGGCGGCCCCCTAGAGTGCCTAAAGAAAAAAACACAAACATACAATGCCATTCGTCATTAGTTCTTCCATCGGATGAGGAAATACAAGAGTCTTATCCAAAGGGAACAAGGTCTGCATCACCCACCTCAAAGCATAAAGAGACATCAAAATTTTTCTCTTTCTCCTTTAGAGGAGAGAAGAGTAAAAGTATTTCATCTCTGAATTCCAAAGCAGGAAAAGATAAAGTCACAGGATCTGCATTAAGATTTGAAGGGAAAGATCATACAGTTATAAATTCTGGTGTTAATACTGATTCAAAAGTTGATGGTCAGATCGATACCTTTGGGAAAAGAATTGGTGTTCGTAGTATGGTAATTGATGGTACAATTAAACGAAACTTTATAGTGATACACCCATCTGATGACTCTGAAACAATTGGACTTGCCCCATTGTCATCTGTCTCCAGTGGTAAAGAAAATTCTCTGAATACTTCAGTGGCATTATCAAGCATGAAATCCCATTTAACACATCTGAAAAATGATAACCTTGAAGCAGTGAAGAGAATTTCTTGTAAAGGAGATCTGAAGGAGGAGCTAACAGATTTGTCTAGAAATTTTGGAGGTTCCTTAAGGATAGGTCACATGTCAAAAAGTTTAAATGCTAATAAAGGTAAGAAAACTAAAGATCATAAACTCCTGGGAAGCTCTCAGAGTTTATCCAGTGAAAATACAAGATATAGTTTCGCCGATTCACAGGCACTTTACAGATCACTCGTCTTGCCAGAAGTGGATGTTGGCTCTGTCCATAAATCTTCAGAAGGATTGAATAACAGTTCTAGAACAGTATCAAAACTTTGTGTAGTCATGTGAAAAAAATATTTTCTTATTTGGTATGCATTATGATAAGCATATTTTGTTTAGTGGTATTCCAGATGAAAAATACAACTACGCAATAACAATGACGACTGTCTTGTGGAAGTTGATACTGTAGTTGACTCAGTAAATCATTATAGAAGATTTTGTAAAATTTAAAAATAGCAAAATGCTTTTTATTTAAGGTAGCTAAACAGTGATTTTTGCTAGTGATTTTAATTGTGACTATAGGCCCTATGGGAGATCCCGAGTCAAGCCTGTGAAATTTAAAAAAAAATTGTTACAACATGTGATTTAGTAAAACTACCTGTATGTATTTGTATTAGGAAACTTTGACATTATCATTTAGATTTTGACAAAATGACCTTCAAAAACTACATGTATTTAATTTTAAAAATATATACAGATTCAAACTTAAAAAACTAAAATTGATACAGTTTAAAGAATTATGTACTATGTATGGTAGATCATTCGATAACACTCAGTCTGTCAACACATTTTTCTGTTAACATATTTTGCAAAATTGCAGCATATTTTTGGTGTACATACCACTAAGATTGGTTAACACCATGGAGTGCATGTAGGGAAAAATGTGGCACGTGCCGCACAATGATCCTCAGGATGAGTCCATTGTCTTATGGGCTAGTGGGTGGGAATGTGTGAGATACTAGGTGGGAATGTGTGAGATACTGGGTGGAAATGTGAGAGCTAGTGGGTGGGAGCATGTGAGATAGATTGAGGACAAGGTACTGGGCAGAGAAGGGTGAGTGAAGGAGTGAGAGTGGCCCATTGATGCATGCTGTCACTGACATCCCACAGTCCCTTTCACCTGTTGTATATCCCATTTGGCTCTGTAGCATATGGTCAGATGGGCACTGGTGTGGGGATGGGTAGAGGCAGGTGGGTGGGGATATGCAGGTGAGGTCGAGTGTTTGGAAGAGAGGTGGGTGCAAGGGTGTTGGGGTGAGGTCTGAGAAAGCATGGAGGAGGAAGTGTGGAGGGGGAGTATGAGTGAAGGGCAGTTATGGGAGATGAGTGAAAGTGGGAGCCTGATGTTGGGCGAGTGTCAGTTCACAGCTGTTCTGCCCTCCAACGTATGGGCAGGAGGTTAATGGCATGTGTGTGGTGGGGTGGGTGAGGGCTGGAATGCATGGGCAGAGAGGTGTGACAGATAGGTGTTGGGGTTGGGTATGGTGTGTGAAGGTTGGAGGACCTGGCAGTGAGGCTACATAGCGAGGCTTACGGCTCTGTTTATATATATGTTAATAACTCCCACACAGTTGCCACAAGTAAGACAACCAAACAGTATAGTAGCTTTCTCTGCTAGCAGAGATATGGTTGCAGAATTTTTGACTCGTATCATCACATCAGCCTTCAATTACATTATTATGATTTTTTTTTTTAAATTTTGAGACCTATAAAAAATTTGGTTGGCTTTTTTTTGGGGGGGGGGGGGGCATGAACACAACCCTGTTTTTCCTCACATTCTTCAGTTTGGTTTAAACATTTTTTGGGGAACTTAACTACTGTGTTATCTGATGATCTACTGTGATACAATAATTTTGGGGGGAAGTCTATTGTTTTGTGGAAAGCATTTCTAGTAGATTAAAACTAGTACTGTACTTAAAACTGCTAAGTTAAGTATTGAAAAGTAATTTTCAAAAGGCAATTCAGCATTACAATTTCTGCTGTTTTTTTAAATTATGCAGAAATCTTCCAGCAATTATTTACTGACTTGATTGAGATAGCACCTTTGAGATAACATCATTGTTATGAGTGTGCTTGGCAAAGCCTCAATTAATGTAAAGAATGTGTAGAATGGTACATATTATTTTATTATTTTTATAGATGTACTGTATGGCAGTTATTTTGTCAACCAAGATTCCAATATACTGTACTTCTTTATGGAGTGTCAACTTGTATAGCTTTTTGTACGAGTGAATGTATTATATTGTGTATTCTGTATGGAAGTATTCTGTATTAGATGAATGTTGGCTACTGCTGTGACAGAAGTTCCCATTTTATGTATTGATCTATGTACAGCCTCTCCTCACTTAACGATGGAGTTTCGTTCCTAAGACCATGTTGGTAAACGAATTCGTCGCCAAGTGAGGAGCATACTATAATGGTAGTGGGTTTGTGTCAGCCATCTTTGATATTGTTTTAATGTCACTTTTGCACCATCTGTAACATTTCTGGTGTATTTTTAAATGTTTATACAGTAGTGTACTGTATATTGTAATAAACAGAATAGAGGAAATCAGCTCTAATATACATTATTTAAGTATGCATACTGGTCAAGTCAGAGAGCCTACCGTAAGTCCGAGTTGTCGGTAAACGAGTACGTTGCTAAGTGAGCAGAGGCTGTATTTGTAAGTAATCTGACTGCTTCATGAGAGTTATCTTCTATCACTTACACATACATACACACTGTGTGAGTGAGTAGGCCTCTTTTTACACCTCCACCTACTGTGTTTCCACCTGTTCGTGATTCCTATTTCATAAGTATTTCCTCCTATCGCTCCATAGGTTCCTCACCTTTCGTAGCAGTTTACACTTTTCCGCCTTGCACTCTGACGTGTGTTGTGCATGGTGCACATGCACAACACACATGCATGTAAATGTGTGCGAGAAAGAGAGAGAGCCTGTGTGGAAAGTTATAATGCCGTCTGCAGGACTAGCTTTTGATCAATGAAAAGTGGCAGCAGATGGCTGAAGTTTCGACTTTCATACTTAAGTTGGAAGTGGGGACATACAGCTGGGCTCATCCACTTTTGGGTTGAACTCTGCACTATATTCACTGAAACTCAGTTAATGGCAGACTTGATGGATAATAATGTTAAATGAGAACAGTGTTCTGTTCTGTGTTCCAGAGGTGGAGCAGCTGTGAAATGGAGAATAAAACACTGACCTCTTCTAACATTATCCATCAGGTATGCCATCATCTGAGTTTTACTGGACATAGTGCAGAGTTTGACCAAGAAGTGGATGAGACCGCTCTTGAAGCTGCATGTCCCCACTTGCAACTGGAGTACGAGTTGTTCCCGAGATTTCTAGAAAGTCCAGACTTCAACCATCTTTTACCATATGTTACAATGATCAAAAGTTTGTCCTGCAGCATGCATCATAATTTTCCATGCAGACTGTATATATATACATATATTGTTACATGTTTCTAGAATGGAGGCAAAGGTAATCAACGATAGCCATTTATGTTACTTTATGGAGGGTTATATATTATATATACTTTTCTACGCCAAGAGAGAGAATTTTTTGTGGCTTACAATTATGTAAATGTGAGAACTTGTTTATTGTTGAAGAGCTGCACCACATTTGTTTTTATACATGGTAAACACACTTGTGTTCAGTTTTGTGTTACAAATATACTGTTAATATATACAGGTAAGTATATGTTTATTTGGAAATGTTTATCGTGATTAGGCAACCAGAAATGACAATTTCAGTGATAATTTTAAACAAATACAAAGTATAATGTGGTTGTGAAATCCAGCTCAGTGTTAACATTAATAATTGCAAGGCTAGTAAATAATATTTGACTTGAAGATGGTTAAATACATGTGTATGACTATTTCTAATATTTTTTTTTTTTTTTTTCAAATTTAGTTAAATTTGAATTGTGCACAATGAAAATTTTCAATTCAGTGCCCCTTTTCTTGGAAGCTACACGAGTAGGTTTTCATTTATCTGTAACATGACATATGTATTTTTAAATAAGTATATTTTAGATACAAGAGTAACCATGCTAGTTACATCTCTCAGTTTAATTTGATGTCTGAGGCAGTCACTAATGCAGTTCTTTTGATATCTGAGGCAGTCACTAATGCAGTTCTTTTGATATCTGAGGCAGTCACTAATGCAGTTCTGACACTCAAAAAATGAGGAGAACCACATCGTGTCACATCATGACATATTTTGTATCTAGTCTTATGTATTTGAATAACCCACATTCATCAGTACAGAAATAATCTGTTACCCGAACAGTCAATATATGATTTACTTGATGGTCTTATATAGATTAGATATCACATATTAGGTGAAATTTTACATATCATTTTTATTTACAAAAGCAGTACTGTACCTATAATGTCAGTACTATACCAATAATTCCTATAATAAGACTAACAACATAAGCAGTTTTGTCTCCAAAATGTACTCAGTGGGTTTGTTGGTCTTAATGTTTTTCGATCGTTTTGCTCTATGAATTTCAGTATTAACACTGTTAGAGGTATGTATATTAAGAAGATTTTCCCATGTTTAGTAGGGCTGGGGGTAAGCTACATTCCATGGAATCACAACTAGCTAAATATTCTTTTAAAAACTGTTGTATTTCCAATGGATTTGCTGGAACACTTATGGGTTTCTCTAGTTCTGGTCCTTTATAAATTTTAATATTAATTATAGTAGTATTAATAGTATTAATTACCAATACTATTATGGCTTTTTTTTTTTTTTTCAACAAGTCGGCCGTCTCCCACCGAGGCAGGGTGACCCAAAAAAGAAAGAAAATCCCCAAAAAGAAAATACTTTCATCATCATTCAACACTTTCACCACACTCACACATTATCACTGTTTTTGCAGAGGCGCTCAGAATACAATACTTTAGAAGCATATACATATAAAGATACACAACACATCCCTCCAAACTGCCAATATCCCAAACCCCTCCTTTAAAGTGCAGGCATTGTACTTCCCATTTCCAGGACTCAAGTCCGACTATATGAAAATAACCGATTTCCCTGAATCCCTTCACTAAATATTACCCTGCTCACACTCCAACAGATCGTCAGGTCCCAAGTATCATTCGTCTCCATTCACTCCTATCTAACACGCTCATGCACGCTTGCTGGAAGTCCAAGCCCCTCGCCCACAAAACCTCCTTTACCCCCTCTTTCCAACCCTTTCAAGGATGACCCCCTACCCCTCCTTCCTTCCCCTGTAGATTTATATGCTTTCCATGTCATTCTACTTTGATCCATTCTCTCTAAATGACCAAACCACCTCAACAACCCCTCTTCTGCCCTCTGACTAATGCTTTTATTTACTCCACACCTTCTCCTAATTTCCACACTCCGAATTTTCTGCATAATATTTACACCACACATTGCCTTTAGACAGGACATCTCCACTGCCTCCAACCGTCTCCTCGCTGCTGCATTTACCACCCAAGCTTCACATCCATATAAGAGTGTTGGTACTACTATACTTTCATACATTCCCTTCTTTGCCTCCATAGATAACGTTTTTTGACTCCACATATACCTCAACGCACCACTCACCTTTTTTCCCTCATCAATTCTATGATTAACCTCATCCTTCATAAATCCATCCGCCGACACGTCAACTCCCAAGTATCTGAAAACATTCACTTCTTCCATACTCCTCCTCCCCAATTTGATATCCAATTTTTCTTTATCTAAATCATTTGATGCCCTCATCACCTTACTCTTTTCTATGTTCACTTTCAACTTTCTACCTTTACACACATTCTCAAACTCATCCACTAACCTTTGCAATTTTTCTTTAGAATCTCCCATAAGCACAGTATCATCAGCAAAAAGTAACTGTGTCAATTCTCATTTTGAATTTGATTCCCCATAATTTAACCCCACCCCTCTCCCGAACACCCTAGCATTTACTTCTTTTACAACCCCATCTACAAATATATTAAACAACCATGGTGACATTACACCTACTTTTACCGGGAAGTATTCTCCCCCCTTCTACACACCCTAACCTGAGCCTCACTATCCTCATAAAAACTCTTAACAGCATTTAGTAACTTACCACCTATTCCATATACTTGCAACATCTGCCACATTGCTCCTCTATCCACTCTATCATATGCCTTTTCTAAATCCATAAATGCAATAAAAACTTCCCTACCTTTATCTAAATACTGTTCACATATATGCTTCAATGTAAACACTTGATCTACACATCCCCTACCCACTCTGAAGCCTCCCTGCTCATCCGCAATCTTACATTCTGTCTTACCTCTAATTCTTTCAATTATAACCCTACCGTATACTTTTCCTGGTATACTCAGTAAACTTATTCCTCTATAATTTTTACAATCTCTTTTGTCCCCTTTCCCTTTATATAAAGGGACTATACATGCTCTCTGCCAATCCCTAGATACCTTCCCCTCTTTCATACATTTATTAAACAAAAGTACCAACCACTCCAACACTATATCTCCCCCTGCTTTTAACATTTCTGTCATGATCCCATCAGTTCCAGCTGCTTTACCCCCTTTCATTCTACATAATGCCTCACATACCTCCACCACACTTACATTCTGCTCTTCTTCACTCCTAAAAGATGGTATACCTCCCTGGCCAGTGCATGAAATTTCCTCCTCCCTTTCTTCCTCAACATTTAAAAGTTCCTCAAAATATTCTCGCCATCTACCTAGTACCTCCCTTTCCCCATCTACTAATTCCCCTACTCTGTTTTTAACTGACAAATCCATACTTTCCCTAGGCTTTCTTAACTTGTTTAACTCACTCCAAAATTTTTTCTTATTTTCATTAAAATTTCTTGACAGTGCCTCTCCCACTCTATCATCTGCTCTCCTTTTGCACTCTCTCACCACTCTCTTCACCTTTCTTTTACTCTCCATATACTCTGCTCTTCTTATAACACTTCTGCTTTGTAAAAACCTCTCATAAGCTACCTTTTTCTCTTTTATCACACCCTTTACTTCATCATTCCACCAGTCACTCCTCTTTCCTCCTGCCCCCACCCTCCTATAACCACAAACTTCTGCCCCACATTCTAATACTGCATTTTTAAAACTATTCCAACCCTCTTCAACCCCCCCACTACTCATCTTTGCACTAGCCCACCTTTCTGCCAATAGTCGCTTATATCTCACCCGAACTTTCTCCTCCCTTAGTTTATACACTTTCACCTCCCTCTTACTTGTTGTTGCCACCTTCCTCTTTTCCCATCTACCTCTTACTCTAACTGTAGCTACAACTAAATAATGATCCGATATATCAGTTGCCCCTCTATAAACATGTACATCCTGGAGCCTACCCATCAACCTTTTATCCACCAATACATAATCTAACAAACTACTTTCATTACGTGCTACATCATACCTTGTATATTTATTTATCCTCTTTTTCATAAAATATGTATTACTTATTACCAAATTTCTTTCTACACATAGCTCAATTAAAGGCTCCCCATTTACATTTACCCCTGGCACCCCAAATTTACCTACTACTCCCTCCATAACATTTTTACCCACTTTAGCATTGAAATCCCCAACCACCATTACTCTCACACTTGATTCAAAACTCCCCATGCATTCACTCAACATTTCCCAGAATCTCTCTCTCTCCTCTACACTTCTCTCTTCTCCAAGTGCATACACACTTACTATAACCCACTTTTCACATCCAATCTTTATTTTACTCCACATAATCCTTGAATTTATACATTTGTAGTCCCTCTTTTCCTGCCATAGCTTATCCTTCAACATTATTGCTACTCCTTCTTTAGCTCTGACTCTATTTGAAACCCCTGACATAATCCCATTTATTCCTCTCCATTGAAACTCTCCCACCCCCTTCAGCTTTGTTTCACTTAAAGCCAGGATATCCAGTTTCTTCTCATTCATTACATCCACAATCATCTCTTTCTTATCATTTGCACAACATCCACGCACATTCAGACTTCCCACTTTGACGATTTTCTTCTTATTCTTTTTAGTAATCTTTACAGGAAAAGGGGTTACTAGCCCATTGTTCCCGGCATTTTAGTTGACTTTTACAACACCCATGGCTTACGGAGGAAAGATTCTTATTCCACTTCCCCATGGATATAAAAGGAAAAGTAATAAGACTAAGAACTATTAAAATAAAATCAAAGAAAACTCAGATGAGTGTGTATAAATTAACGTGTACATGTATGTGTAGTGTGACCTAAGTGTAAGTAGAAGTAGCAAGACATGCCTGTAATCTTGCATATTTATGAGACAGACAAAAGACACCAGCAATCCTACCATCATGGCTACTGTATTATATTTCTTCTGTGGGACCCTGGGAGAGCCCACTTGGGATATGCCACACCTTCACATCACTTACCTCAAGAAAAGAAGATACATATCTCTCACCTCCAGTCTGTCAGTGGTGTTTACTTGTTATGATTGGCATTGCCTGAGTTTCCCATAGTGTACAGAAATCCAGTCATTGCCCTTTTTCTGTTATTTAAATAACCCACAGTTTTCCTCTCTTCAAGTAAAAATATAGTTACAGGGATTGCAGAACATATAGGAAAAATAGGGCTAGTTCCTGAAATTTTGAAAAGTGCCAAAGAAGTTTTTAATTTTGTATTTCATCAAAAATAGTAGTTTTTCATACTTAAGCATCGAACTTGACATTGCTTGTCGACGTGGAAATGTGTGGACGAGGGTAGATGTGACCCCTGTGCAGTACCTGTACAAACGTGATGGGCAGTATCAGCTACTACCACCATTACCTACCAACACCATCACCTGTCATTAGCATTGGTAAACATAAGACATGTAGGAACTCAACACACCTCTACTGCACAAACATACATTCAAGATAAAGCAGTTGAGAAAGTAATAAATCAAAAAATACAGTGGTATTGTAATAAAATGGTATGAGAGTTTGTTGGTTTAAGGGCACCTACATCACAGCTGATGTCACATTGACCTTTATTTTCCAGGAGTCTTAAGAATTTTATTTGGACACACCATCTAGTTCCCACCGAGGTAGGGTGGCTTCTTCTTTCCTTCTCTCCTCCTCCTCCTCTTCTTCCTCACTCTGTGAGTTTCATGGGACATCGATCATAACAAATGAGTGACACCTAAAGATCAAAGATTATGGAGACCATTAACGAGCGTAAAGCACTTGCAGTGACCTGGTTGGGGTTTAGAGATATTTTAGTATGAATGAATAGGCATAGTGCCAGCCTAACAACTAATCTTCATCTTTTTTCTCTACTTTGGATTCATTACTTTTGATATCTAATTGTGGATATTGTTTATACCTAAAATTTATACATATGGAAATTTTCATACATTAAGGGTGAGTTGATTGGTTATTCAGGTGTAGACCCATATTTAGTTATGTTGAACTATTGTTTTTAAAGTCATGGGGACAGAGTAATGAGAAAAGACAGGTAGTGTCATCAGCAAAGCACATTGGCTTAACCCTTTAACTGTGACTAACATAAGTTTCGACAGGAGACCAAACCGTTGCCAGCATATCTAAACTTGGAATTTACGTGCCTTCAGATTTGCTTCCCAGTGTTATTTAATGCCTCAGTTCAACTGCATGGGTGTCCCACTACATTGTCATGCCTTGGAAAAGTAATCGACGGCCACCTACGTTCATTTATTGAATCGTGGGTAATAATGTCTTACCAGGACATGTAATCAAGGTGTGTGATATACCATGCTGTACCTCTGTAAGTCAGCTGTTTTTATTTTGGTTTATTTACATAGCATACATTTATGTTTTACAGTGGTCCTGAGGTTACACTTTTTTTTTTTAACACATGGCCATATACTACTGAGGCAAGGCACATAAACAGTGCATTGTGTAGATTTATTTACCCTTGGATAACTCAGTGACTTGTTTACATGTTTTGAAGAGTATCACACTTTGAAATAATTGTAATATAAGATCTCCTACACTGTTAGAAGACAAAAGCAGTCAAAAGAAATAAGAAAAGTTATTTGTACCAATTTATATTGCATGTTCTATGCGAGGCATATGCATCCCCCCAAGTTTAGAGAACTGATAAACCTTGAAACACATCTAATACCATGAGAAGCCACTATATATAATGTTAGACATTTTAAGCATTGTTTTGAACCTTAATTTGGTGTCAGATTGTAAAATATAAATAATTACTGCCATGCTCATTTATGCTGCTGTTGCCAGTGAATGATCATATTTTTGCCAAATTCAGCACACCATAAAACAGTAAGTTTTCTTTAAATTTTGATTTTTTTTTTTTTAATTTTGCCACACACCAAGGAATTAAAATTTCAAGACCTGGCACAGTTAAAGGGTTAAGATGATGGGTGGCATTTGGTAAGTCATGTATATAGAGGAGGAAAAGAAAGGGCCCAGTATGATACACTAGACGGCGCCTAATTCAATTGGTCGAGTAGTTAAGGAAGTGTCTGTTTTTTGAAGGAGTTGAAGAAGCTGTACATGCAGGCCTTCCCAGTCCATTGTGAAGAATAAACTGTGTAATACATTTTTATGATTGCATTGTTAGTGTTGTTTAAGGATTTGAATAAAAATCGGCAAGGTTTGTCTTGTGGCGACCCTTTAAACTACAGATTTGTCTTGGGGTGATAAAGCTCCTCTAAGCTGTAAGTTTATTATTTGAAAGTGTTTTCAGAACTGGAAAACAAACGGTTCTGCTTCAAATCATCTAAGTTGTACCTCCATTGTATATATAATGATAGCATGATGTTGAGCTACTTGCATACAAGGTGTTCCTTCAAGGGGAGAGAAATGCTTCTTGATCCAAGGAATTTGGGCTGGTATTCATAGGATAAAAATTACTTCCCATTTCCCAGGTGCTGTAGGATCCCCATGATTTTAATTCTTACCCGGGAAAGTAATCATCATAGAGGATGTTCTCGACAGGCTGCAGCAATAATAAAACAAGTGGTTAATAATGTTGTAATTCACTCCTAACAGAGTGATGCGTATCAAGTTTTTTTTTTTGATCAGCTGTTTTCCATCAAGATAGTGACCTAACGATTGAACAATCACATTTCAAATGACTCTCCTCCAGGAAACAACATCTTCACCCATCCTTCAGAGTGTAGGCACTGACCCTTCCTTCATTGTAGGCACTGCATTTACCATCCCCAGAACTCCAGTCCAGGTAATTAGTTATTTATGTAGTAATGAATTGCAACAGTAGAAAATATTCGATGGGGGTCTCCTTAAAAAAGACTAAGCAGGAATCTATAAAAATGTAGGAAGAATACAAGGTAATGTGGGAAGTTACCAAAACATTATGGCCTGGAGACTATTTACCTCTTATAAGAAATATTGAGCAAGGCTTGTAATTTCTTGAAGCAGTTGTAGTTCCTCTTGGTATTATGACTTGCCATAGTGTATGCTACTACTACTACTATTGGAAATTAAACGGTTGTTACTGAACATTATAGATGGGAACCATGAACATGGCTTGTTGGCTAGATGTGTATTGCTCAGTCAGGCACATTAAGCATCATTGGATCTGATCAGTAACTGGATGGGTGACTGCATGGGCACAGAGTTGGTAATTTTTATGAGAATAATAAGCCAGGAGCTTCTGTTTCCCAACACTGGCATATACCATATCATGTGTTCATAAAATATGCTCTTAAAACTGGATTTGGTGTTCATTAATAATCTCAGTGTGAATATAAATTATTGCAAAACAATTATGTATTAATGTAGATTTAGATGCAGAATTATTGTGCTGGATAGGTTATATGACCTAGCATGATAATACTACTTCTAAATATGTAATAGTGATTTGGTTTCAGATTTTTTTTTGTCATTCAGTAAATATTTTTGCTGTATTGTATGTGCACAATAATAGGACATTATATAATAGTGATATATAGAGCAGTATTTCAAGAATAAAACAATAAACCTGTCTATTTTTGTAATTTTTAATAAATGATTTATTTTCCTGAATTAAGGAGATTGACAAAAATTTCAAGAAGATACTGAAGTACTGATTGGTTGTACTCGCCATAATTGAACCTTTCAGTAAACTAAATGTCCATTGGTGTACAGTATAAGGTGGTGCAAGGTGTTGAGTAACAGTACAGCTGACACACACTGTAAAGAACACACACTGCAAGTGCTTCAAGAACCAATTTGAGCTGAATGATAAAATTTCCATTGGATGTGTCCTTTAGTGCATCTTTCTCGAGCAGTTCTGTATCATCTTTTTGTGTATGCTAAAAAAAAATATTATCCTACTTGAATGATGAGATCCTAATACTGTATAATGTTTCACTGACTTAATGATCACTTGATAATTGTATACAGCAGTAAGCTAGTAAAATTGCTGCTCTGCTTTTCAATAAGAAAATTGCATTCCATAGAATCTCCTGGTATAATTTGTGATGTATTTACTAATTTCTATACGTATATACAATACACAAGTATACCGAACAAGCCACTATCTGAACAATATTTTGCTCTAAAGTAAAGTGTTTTATAGACTTGAAAAAGCTTTTCGTAACCTTTTAACTGTGTCCATTGTATTAATGCTCAAGTGATGACTGTCATCGACACACTGGTATGCACATTATGTATACGCCACCCGCCAATATTTTTCACCTCGGCACAAGTGTTTGGGTCTCCTACAACCTCTTCATACATTTGAAAAAAAGCTAAAGCCAGACAGGTCCATACAGTGCACCTTAGGTACCACTGCCTAACTAGCATAAATAATGAAACCAGGACCTGTTGTGCTACCACCAGCTTCCCTGCCAACAAATAATTTCATGATACAAACAGTAGAATTCAGCCAAAAAGCACATTATGTAGATTTAACTTAGGATAACCCAATAAAATCAAACTGTGACATATTTCCATAAGGGTTGTTGAGGTGGTTCGGACATGTAGAGAGAATGGAGCGAAACAGAATAACTTCAAGAGTGTATCAGTCTGTAGTGGAAGGAAGGCGGGGTAGGGGTCGGCCTAGGAAGGGTTGGAGGGAGGGGGTAAAGGAGGTTTTGTGTGCGAGGGGCTTGGACTTCCAGCAGGCATGCGTGAGCGTGTTTGATAGGAGTGAATGGAGACAAATGGTTTTTAATACTTGACGTGCTGTTGGAGTGTGAGCAAAGTAACATTTATGAAGGGATTCAGGGAAACCGGCAGGCCGGACTTGAGTCCTGGAGATGGGAAGTACAGTGCCTGCACTCTGAAGGAGGGGTGTTAATGTTGCAGTTTAAAAACTGTAGTGCAAAGCACCCTTCTGGCAAGACAGTGATGGAGTGAATGATGGGTGAAAGTTTTTCTTTTTCGGGCCACCCTGCCTTGGTGGGAATCGGCCAGTGTGTTAATAAAAAAAAAAAAAAAAAAAATATTAAACTTCGAAACAATTATATTTTATTATTATTATTATCACACTGGCCGATTCCCACCAAGGCAGGGTGGCCTGAAAAAGAAATACTTTCACCATCATTCACTCCATCACTGTCTTGCCAGAAGGG